TAAAAAACAACACTTACGGGGCAATGTTTATTGTAAGAACAACATTTTTTTCTATGAATCGACATACTTTAAGCATTGTTGACGCTATTTCCATTTGAATGAGGAAATAGCGTCAATGACTTTATTTCCAAATTTTTGTTGACTTTATTTCGCTTTTGAAAAGGTAATAATGTCAATTGACTTTATTTCGCACCAGGGTGGGAAATAAAGTCAATTGACATTATTTCCATTGACCTTATTACCTGTCACCAAATGAATTAGCAACACGAGTTTACGGGGTGTGCATAGCTCAGGGGCTGTCCATATATTACGTAAGGGAGTTTTCGCCTGTTTTGAACCCCCCCTCCCCTCACGTAATAAATTGTAAGATTTAATTGATCCCCCTCCCCCCGCCACAGATCTTACGTAAGATTAAAAATCCCCTAGACATGTTTTTTCAATTAAACATTAGAAAATACTATATAAAGCATTGTTCACTCAAAATCGGTACGCATAAAATTGGTTATATCTTTTTAACAGGATTTCAGAAAATAATATTTAATATATTAAAATAAAGGGTAGTATTCCGCTATAGATAGATGTTAGCGAAAGTTTCACACTTTGCTTGTATAAATAAAGAACAGTCTTAAAAACTTCCTTACATAGTTATACCAGTAATTCTTTGTTGTCGGTTTCTTTGGTCCACGGTCCAGTCAGCCAATCTGAAAAAGGAGTAGCTACAGGGATATTTCGTACTTCTTTTTCACTCAAAGGTATTTCATTTTCACAGTCCACTGAAATTTCTTCTTGATTCACCCACTCAACAATATCCTCGGTTTCATCTTCTATGATGACACACATGAGCTCTCGCCCGCGTCGTGAAATTATCCTCGGTGCTCTACGACGCTGGGGCTCAGAAAAGATCAAGTGAAGCTTTTTGTGAATGCTTAGGGGCTTTGCATATATTACGTAAGGGAGTTTTCGCCTGTTTGTGTTCGAGCTGCATTTTTCGGTTATAATAGACACCGAAGAGTAACGTTTTTTTAGAAAAATAGAAAAGTTAAAGCAAAAGTTGTAAAAAATTGTAATATCCTCCGTATTTAATGTATATTTTTCATTTCAATGCAATTTAGTACTTTGATTGGGTGAATTTTCATATTTATAAAGAACAATTTTGTATAAGAATACAAGCAAAATAATATTACGTAAGAATCTACGGGACGCCCCCTCCCCCCATATAAGAAAAAGTAAGAAAATTCTAGACCCCCCTCCCCCACAAAGGTCTTACGTAATATATGGACAGCCCCTCAGTGGTTAACGCTTCTGACTTTGTACATCGATGACGCGGGTTCGATCCCCGCTGTAGTCTAGAAAAATGAAGTCTGATTAGGAGATGTGATGATCTCCGAAATAGCTGCTAGACTTTTTTTGCTTTTTCCATTTTTCCTAATAAAATAATCGTGGTAGAAAGCTCAATAAAATTATTTAGGGGATTCCCTTAAACGCGAAGAGCAGAAAACTCGAAAACCTCGAAAGTTTTCGAGGCTGTTTTTGGGAATGCACCTTTTTTCAGCCTCGTAAACAATGGAGAAATTCCGAAGTTTGACAGCTCATTCAGAGTTTTCGCTCTCGACAATCACAGAAGGGTTGACACCTTTTCTTTGTCCGAAAATCTCCTCCAATATATCAAAAAATGGATATATTTTTTCCACGTACTCTGCAAAAGAAGCTTTAGATGATATTTTACAATGGAGGGTTTACATACTCCAACACACTTGCAACGCTTTTTTCCTCACCCTTTTCCAATAGTCCAGCTCCAGTTTGCCCCTTCCATTTCGTTGCATCCATGTAAGCTACCTTTAGGTGGCGCATTTTCCCCTTCATTGTACTCCAATTTATTTGGAAAAGTATCCAATTTTTTGCCGAGATGTTTGAGTAAAACNAAAATTTGGGTAAATAAGAGCCTAATACCATTAAAAAAATAAAATTGCAGTATGGTAGATTTGCAAATTTTATATTTAAAAATTTAACATTTCAAGTTTTGAAACAGTAACTTTTACATGGCNTTAATTGCTGAAAGAAAAGGTTTTATTTATTTTCCAAAATAAGCTAATTTGTCTTACCTCTTTGTTCATGCTGCTCAAGCTCTTTTCAGCTGTTTTCAGTTAATGTTGCCTACTTTCAGTTTTTTGTTTTCTTTTACTGGAAGTTTACACAAGGCATTTTTTCGAAGGCAATAGCCAAAGCGAATTCAAATAATTCATTCATATATTCTCGATTGTCTTGTCTTATGTAAACGCAAGGTTAGTAAGTTCGTAGAATATTCGGATATAAAGGCAACACTGAAACTTACGAACGACTTTTCGAGGCTTTTTTCGCGACTAATTTGCCTCGAAAGTTTTCGAGGCACGCGAAAATCGCCACTCATACAATTTTTGACAGTTGTTTTTCGAGGCTGGAAAAGTTTCGAGGTTTCGTGGTTTTCGAGCCACTTTCGAGCTTAAGGGAATCCCCTAATTAAAATCTCTGTAAGATGATTTGTTAAAAAAAATACGTGAACATATATGGTATATGGGGTATGGAAAAAGGGATATTTCCAACAGTAAATGTTTTAGTGTGGGCAACAATGATATTTTTTAAATAAGGCAGATCGGAATATGCGCTCTCTGGGAAGATAATACCTGTAATTATTGTACCATGTTTTCAAACCCATTTATTTATTATTAATTTCATGGTAGGAGAGCTTCTCAAACAATATAGAAGAGATTTTTTTCGATTCAAGTTGTTGAAAAGTAATGAATATCTAAATCCCGGGACTAACCCCGGGCTCCCGGGATTGTGACAACGGCATCCCGAAAATCCCGGGATCAGAAAAAGCCGAAAAATTAAAATCCCTAATATGAAAAGATTCATTTCCACTTTTAATAGTGTTGCCACAGAAAAGTTTAGTTCACTTTAATGAACGAACTAATGAATTAGTTAAATTAAAAGAGCTGGCTCTTTCGCTTTTTAGTTCCAAAGCTCCCCAAGCATATTTAACATCATTCCACAGAATAAGATTAGAAAAAAATTACGGCCGACGAATTGAGAGAATAGTTTTGACTTTTAAAGCTAATGTGTTCACACTTGTCTAGTTTTCGGGCTGTATATCTGGTTAAATTTTTTTATTCTATAATATATTTTATTGTTGCAAACAGCGTCAAAATTAAATAAAAGCTTGAAGAAATAACCACATAACCAGATAACCAGACAGGTGTTAACACCCACAATGTAAACCTTATTTTTTTATATTCATCACACCCTTTACAATCCTCTTGGAAGTATTCAATATAATTTTTGATTACTACATGTGCTTTCTTTTACAAACAGATGATACAAAACTAGATGCAAAGAATTTGGAATATCTCAAATACGTTCCCGATGAGGATTGGAGATCTTATTTAGACTTCGGAATCGAATTTGTAAATAAACAGAAGAGGTAAATTATTTAAAAGAAAATATATACATGCATATGTATGCAAACTTCACTAGAGGCAACCGTTGAAGCAATCAAACCTACCATACAAAACATTAGAAATAGGCAAAAATCGTCAATGGCAACAAATTGGTGACTCGCCGATTTATTGCCGTGGTGAGAAATAAGCAACATCATTTCTTTCGTGTCATTTTAAAAACATATTTTCAAAAATTACAAACCTCATGAATTTTGCGTCAACAGTGTTCTCCAAACATACTCAAATTATGGAGGGAACACTTTTCCGCCCTATTGAATGGCAAATGCAAAGTAGTGGAGAAGATGAACCCGAGCCCCCAGTCGAGGACGATGGAGTCCCAGCGCCTGACTATGAAGAGGTACGAATAGCGATTACGCGACTAAAAAACAACAAAACTGATGGAGCTTACGGCCTCCCAGCGGAGCCATTCAAGCACGGTGGAGAAGACCAGGATGCGAGTTTTAATTAATTTAATTAATTTTTATTCAAACAATAAATAAAATTGTATTCATAATTTTTCTATTTTTGAATGACGAATAAATTTTTATTATTCATTCAAGTATTTTCGAATGGTGAATAAATACTTATTCATCATTCAAGTAATTTCGAATGAAGAATAAATTGTTATTCTTCATTCAAGTAACTTCGGATGAAGAATAAATTTTTATTTTTCTTTCAAGTAATTTAGAATGAATAATACATTTTTATTTGTCATTCAAGTATTTAAAAAAAAAAAACGAATACATTTTTATTCATCATTCAAGTAATTTCGGATGAAGAATTAATTTTTATTCTTAATTCAAATAATTTCAAATAATGAATTACTTTTTATTCATAATTCAAGTCATTTCGAATGAAGAACAAATTTTCGTTCATGATTCAAATGATACCGAATAACGGATAATTTTTCATTTATCTATTATTCAGTAATTCTTTCTTGATTACCGTACCAGGTAGACGATCACGGTAAATGTTCATGTTATATATACATTAGGGTGGTCCTTAAACGTAGGAAGCAAATTTTTACATCAGATTTCTTAAGCCTCAACCCCTACGTCGATGCTACTATAGTCGAAGATATCACATATAAATTTTGGTCCCGATTGGAGACGGTTAAAGCGTATCGCACAGGTGGCAAATTTCAGATTCCTCCATGGAGACTCAAAAAATTGTCAGAACCCCCACATCCCCCCTAAATACGGCCTTGACAAGAGTTATATCTATCAATTATTTTTGTGAGGGATGGGTTCACGTGAAATAAAACATACATGAGTTGTTTGCAGAAAAATTTGTTCATTTATTGATAAAATATGCTCAAATTGGCGACCTTCTACTCTAATACAAGCTCGTCACCATTTAAGAAAATACGCTTATAGAGATCTTATATCTGACATTTAAAAATACCGCACCATAAATTTATTTTGTACTGGTACTGTCAACAATCTTATCTCATTTCGTGAGGATCACGTTTGCCTGATGATTCATCGCTCCAAATTATTTTATTAAAAAAGTTGGTGTCTGATTCATGCATTCGCTACATTTCACTGCAAAATCTAACCCTCGACAGGTAATCTCTCTCTTGTAGAGCCTGAACACGCTGAATGTAGTAGGGATGGTATTTTAAAGCTTTGTGAACTGTAGTTTTTGGTATTCCAGTCCGTCTTTCCATCATTCTCCCCGAAGTCGATGGACCTAGTTCCACTTACTCTAACACAACTTTAACATCTACCGTTGCAGGACGTCCATTCTCGCTGCCACGCCTTCCAGGTATGCGACCTTAAAAATTATAGTTAAAAGAAGAAATGCTTCAACCAAGAAAGGTCNAAAAAAAAAATAAATAAAAGAATAAAATAAAAAAATAAAAATATTAAAAATAAAAATAAATAAAAAGTGCGTTGAAAACGCATTGAGAACCATTTTGCCTCTGCCTTGAAAGGGCTAAAAAGCGTTTCAGATATGACAGANCTTCCAGGTATGCGACCTTAAAAATTATAGTTAAAAGAAGAAATGCTTCAACCAAGAAAGGTCTAAAAATTACTTACCTTCAGATATTTCTCTATGGGTGCGGGGGAATACTTCACGACCCGGATGCCGACGATTTGGGTATCGCTCTGCATAGAGTTTTTGAGCAGCTCTGACAAGCTTCACCGTAAATTAGGTGAATATCCGCATATTCATGCGACGTATACTCCATGTTCTCTGGCATAGTATTAATAACACAATGTTCGAAGGGTCCAGTTTCACAAAATCCACTTTCATTATTTCCGGTAAGTAACACAATATAATGTCAGGAGCAGTGGCGTAGCCAGAATTTGGCTTAGGGGGGGATGAAAAAAAATTTCCATCGATAACTTAAATCTGTGACACACAATGGCTAGAGGCGTCGCCTGAGTGCATTCTTTCATATGTTTATGTATGTACCAGTTTTACCGTTATATATTTTTTATCTACTCGTTTATTCCATTGGGTCTTCATGCTTTATTTAAATTTAAAAAATTTAATTATTATACCGTTTTAAAAATCTGAAAATTCACTGCGCGAAATTTTTTGATTCTCTTTTTGTCTTCGCCTTCTCATGTTTGCCTTTATAAGTTTTGAAAAAAGGTTTTGAACGAACCATTATATCACATTCCTAGGCAAGTTTTGAAAGAATATTTTCGATACTAAATTTTATTAAAACAAAATGTTGAAATCAGCTTCGTATAGAAACAGTGTCATCGTTAATTAAGAAAGAGTGTTCTTAAACATCATAACTATACGATACTCACATATTGACTCGATTTGACTATTTATTTTATTATATTTTAATTTGAATTATTTGTTTATAAAAATATAGTTTATTCCCTAACAAACACTAAATGAAAATAAGTTAAACTTTGAACAACATTAAAAAAATCTGAAAGTTTTCGTAAAAATTTCGAACTTTCTATTTCAATTTTATCTCTTAATATTTTGCAGTTTTTTACCTCATTCAATTTTAGTTTAATAAAGTGCAAATTTAAAGTAGCTCTGATTTACAGTTAATGTATGCCATATTTTTGACGATGTTGGTAATTTTCTTCCATATTATCTAAGTATGTTCCACGATTTTTTAATGACGAAAATGAGCAACGCCTTCATAAAAAAAAACACATTAAAAATCAACGATAAGTCGCAGCTATGTATTTTAAACTTGCGTTTTATTGTATTGATCGGGCTACAAAACTGCATACTCAAAATATGTATTTATAGGAAATCGAATTAAAAAGCTTTGCGAAAGTTTGTTGATTTTTTTAATGTTGCGCAAAGATTAAACTTTGGATTTATACGGGTTTTGTTGAAGTGTAAACTGCATTTTTATAAACAAATAATTAAAATTATATAATTTTAAGATAAATGGCGAATCTAGTTAACATATATATATATAAAGTTTTGATAAGCACTTGAAATGTCCAGTTTTAGTACTGAATTCAAAGAAGATGTATCTTTTATCCATTCATAATAACTTAAAAAAATTTGTTTGTTAAGAAGTGTATCTTAAAATATCTGCCTTGACATTTATGTTAAAAGTGTAAAATATGTAAATGTACCTACATAAACTTTCCCGTGAATACAATCAAATCATTGGTCTTGAAGGGAATCTATGTATGCATGCATGCATATGAGAAAATTAAAAAGTCGATACAATTTACAGTCGAAAAGTACAGTTTTTGTATAGATTTCGTACTGAAAGAACAATTTTATTTCCCCACACTGTGGGGAACTAAGCAAAATGGCCTAGTGTATTTCGCAAATTAATACATGAGCCGCCAACCGATAATTTTATATATGTATTCATTAAAAGATAATTTGTCAGTCTGAAATAAAAAAATTATAATTCGGAAGGGTAAAATAGTATTGTGTTATTAATTCAAATATAAAAAGTTTCATTTCACTGACGAAGGGGGGGTGGTCCTTTCCAAAGCCTTTCCCCAAAAGGAACTCAACTTACCACGTCTGTCTTCTATAGGGATCGCCAGAATACTAATAACCATGATAAAAGCATAGTAAGGGAAAACCGTTCTCTCAATGCGTCGGCTATGATTTTTTTTTTGAAGTTTGCCAACATTTTAAAATCCAATAAAATTGAGAGTAAAAAAAAGGAATTGTTCAAAGTTGTATTGTTTGAGATTGAAAATGAGAATGTGTGTGCGAGTTTGTGTGTAAAATTTTAAAATTAAAATGCTTGCAAACGTCAAGGATTTGAAAAATTCCCCTGAGCGGTTCTGCCTTCCTATTTTTTTATAATGCTAATAACCTCGGCTTACTTAAACGTCAGAGAGCCTGGAGTAGTAATTGGCGAACGCGGTAAGTTAGGGTTGCCATTTGGCGAACGGATTGAACATTCCGCCCGCCTTGCAGTATTACTGCGAAAAGCATAATTCACAATTGATGTAGTAGATTCATAGGTAGTGGATTACAATTCAGAGGTTCATATATACTCACAGTGGCACAGCCAGCGGGGGGATATGGGGGGATAGATCCCCCCTTCGTCATTGAACTACAATTATTTACTTTTGAATTAATAACACAATACTATTTTATCCTTCTGATTTAAATTTTTTTTTTATTTCGGATGGATGACAAATTATCTTTTAATGAATATATGAGTACTCCACTTGCAAACAGCGTTATGTGATTTTATAAAAGTAAACCATAAATTAAAAAAAAACGTCTACGACAACAAGTAACATCCGAACTGTATCTTTTTTTATTACCTTAAAATTTGGGTAAATAAGAGCCTAATACCATTAAAAAAATAAAATTGCAGTATGGTAGATTTGCAAATTTTATATTTAAAAATTTAACATTTCAAGTTTTGAAACAGTAACTTTTACATGGCTAGCTTTTCGCGTTCTCTCCTCTAGGAAGATTTGTTTGCTTCTTTTTTGCGACATCTTCCACTAGGCACCGAAACTACCACGTTTTCTTGCAGTTTTCTAAGTTCATACGAAGAGGAGACATT